CAAAGCCGAAAGTGGAAAATTCAACTGCCAGTCCTTCATCACCTTAACCAAAGTAGAGTAAAGACATCCCATATAATACACGTAACATTGTGGGAAAATTCACTATCACTCTTTCATCGCCTTGAACAACATGGTTTTAAGTGAAGATCAAACGATAGTCTCGAAAACCGACTAATTACGAAGACATGCCAACCTGTTGACACACTCACGTCAGGGCCAAACACATGTCCATCTATCCAACCGTGTCGACCGGCCCCATTCGGCCAACCGCATACCGTCCGTCGGCACAGACCGACCAGAAGCCTCGTCACAGCTTTTGGTCAAACTGGTAACCCGGGCAAGGGTGTCACGTGTTTGGGCAGGCCGAGGTTGGTGTGACTGACGCCCACGAACTGGGGCCGAGGTGGTGACAGAAGAAGTGGCAGACGAATATCGCTTTTGTGCAATACTGCCTGTTGTAGCACTTCACACGCCAGTTCGCTCGGGTTTGTGTGTGTGTGTGTGTGTGAGTAGACGAGCCAATGGATGTGGGAGCTGAGAGGCATTGGGTGGGAGGAGGCTGGAGAAAGCGAAACGGTGGCCGAGCCAAAGAGAAGATGATTCTGTGGTTTCCGGGACTTGTGGCAGTTGATGTGTGCTGACGGTGCTTCCAATTACCAGTCTCACATACAAGAGGGCCACTAAAAGGGCTCCTTTGTCCGTACCCCAACTGGACCGACAAGGGTTGGGTACCGCTGCCTCGGCCTCTGGAGTGAGGGGGAAGGGCGCAGGGGGCATCAGAGCCCGAGGTGTGAAAACACGCCCACCGGAGGCACGTAGTTATGACTGGACTCGGTCAATGGGCTCTGGCTTTCGGCTGACCTCCGAAGCTACAAGCTTGGCTTTGTTCCCTGCTGCGAATTGGTCTCCTCCCTCTCTTTCACAAACAGACACACACACACACACACACATTACACTATGCTTGATCAAATACTACTTTTCCCATTCTTCCTCTTGATGGAATGCCCATATGAAGTCACTGCTCCCCCTTCACTTGACATTCACACTTGTTAGTGTGTCGCAATTTCATCGCATACAACCCCATTGATCAGGCGGGTATTCGGTTTCTCGTCTTTTATGTTTCATATATATATATATATATATATATATATATATATATATATATATATATATATATATATATATAT